TTATTCGGTAACCTGAGAAATATCAGAAGGCAAAAAGAAGTCGTTCGCGCGACTGAAGCGAGCTTTTCCAGAGAATATATGCGAATAAAGCGCACCGCGGCGGTCTCTCTCTCTTTCTCTCTCTCTCTCTCGCGCGCGCGCGTGATGTCTTACCGAACGCGTCTTACCTGACCGAAAATTCCGTCCAATACGACCCAGATAATCAGGCGCGTGCTAATGATCATCGCTCCGCGCCGTCGGCTCACAGCATCACCGAGAAATGCACGAGGCGCGTAATCGCGGCTATCGAACGGCAGAGCGACGTGTGTGCGAACGATATTTGCGGATTGCAGCGGCCGAATCTGCGTCGGGACGATACGATATTCGCAGCATTATTTCGAAATGCATCAACGCGTCGACAGCCTTCAGCTATGAGCTCGTACACTTGGCGCGGCACAGTGTATCAACCCCGGGGGATATTACAATACAACAAAACCTAACCTCCGTCGCCAAATATTTACAGCGCATTGTTACAAAATTACGTGCGCGCTCCTCCGTTTCTCGTCGTTCTTCCAACCGCGACATCGAGAGCGTTGTGGTTCCCGTTGATCCTGACTGACTGTCGAAGCGAGAAGGAGAAAGATGTCTCTTCCAGATGCACGGATGTGCGGAGCAGCAACGCGCGCGATACGACGTGACGAAGGAGCCTCGGCTGCGGATTGATCCCACAGTTCGAGCGGGCCCCTCGCCTCTCTTGCCGAACTTGAGCGCGGTCACGGGCGGTTAAAGACGCCGGCTATCGATTGGCGCGCATATCAGTCCCTTTCGCTATTAGCCCGTAAAGCTTCATTACGGCCTCGGCGACCTGAATTCCGAGACAGCGATCGCAATTGAACATGCACCGGCAGGTGATTAACTAACGTGTCGGTTCCACGACATGTCGTCAGCTCGCTCGGCCTGACGAAATTTGCAATTTATTTCCGGCCAGACCCGGATGGCGCTCAATTGTACGAACCGCCGTCGCCGTCTTCCTCGCTTCGCCTTCGTCGCCATCGTCGACGTTGCCGCTGTAACTCGCGTATACGCGTCAAGGAATGAGCTATCAAAGTTGAACGGTCTACCGCTGCGAAGCAGCGAGAGCGAGAACGGGGGGAGAGGAGGGGGAGGGAGAGAGAGAGAGAGAGAGAGAGAGAGAGACCTTTGACATTCCGGTATGGAGCCGGCTCATTACAGTTCCTGTATCGGGGGGAAACCTAGCGTGTCACAGGTTCCATTACCGGAACGGTTTAGATCACGCAGTCGCAGTGACATTCGCAAAGCAGCCTCTCCGCAAGGGCTGATACCTATTGACAAGCTTTGCCAGGCCGGCTTTATGACCGATACATGGGCAAGAACGCGATCGCGCGATAAACGCGCGCCGACGACATTATCGCCGGGCAAAACCATAATTTAGTGTTCAAATTGCGCGACAACGCGCGGGCACGGGCGGATGAATCGCTGTCTCGGTCGCCGAGGGCGCTACGCTGCGGAAAATCCGCGGTCACGGCAACGTGAAATTTCGACCGACAATGTCTGGCAATTCTCTCCCCTGCCGCCCGCTCGATGTATGATTATATATCATATGTATGTTTGATATCGCGCGAAAAGAGACCAGGCGAAGGACCGCGGCAAGATATGGGAAGGAGCACAGTTGCTGTGAAAGAAGGAGGATGTGGAATTCCCCCTATCAGCCCGTACGCCAGATTGTTATCGACTGTAACATTAGTCGCGCGCAGAGTTGCTTTCACTCGAGTATGAACCGCTTTCCGTTCCGTTAACGCGCACACAACTATTAGCTCTCTCGATCATTGTCAGCCGGCAAACTGCGCAGCTCGAAGTTGCCGCTGGTGATCGTTCTGCCGGTCGATCGTCGATCAATCGGAGCTTGGAAGAGGGTCCAGGGTCGTCCTGTCGGATCGCCAGCGGAAGTGAAACGATGATTTTCTCGTACGCGACGAGACGAGAGTAGGGGATGAAATCGACGGGACTTGCAGCAAGCGCACGCTCCGCGTTCGCCGCGCGTCCTGGCTCAGGCTGATCCGACGCGGCATCTGATGCTCCGAATCGCAATCCTGATTTTCGAGGGGCCAACCGCCCCCGTGAATTGCTCGCGGCGGCGGCGGCGGCGGCGGCGGCGGCGCGGCGGAGCCGCTTCCGCCGTTCGCGGGGTGTACACATTGACTTTGCGAAGCGGCGTGCATTAAAACAAGCGCACGGCGGCGGGGCGAGCAAATTACTTCGTTATGATCCACCGATGACTCCCTGCCGCGCGATCTCCCCGGCCGGTAAGTTCGTTAATTGCAAGCTCACGCGAATCGTTCGCGTTTCAGCACTTGACGCAGACGAGAGTTTGCGTGACGCTTAATATAAATGGAAAACTGCAGAAGTTCGTTCTCGATGCGCCGTTACGATGCATAATTCATAACGGTATTAAATGGCCGCTGTCGACATTGCTCCTCGCTCTTCCCCCCCCCCTCCCTGCCCGCGCTATTCCTTTTTTCCGAGCGGGACTTATTCGTTACGGCTAGTTGGGCGGGAAAAAACAGTTTTAATGGGCCGGCTTTGTGCGTTTTATAAATATCACGCGCAGGGCCCGTGTAATAATCAGCGATGTTTAGTTATTTAATCGTCAGCGCTTTTCGTTCGCCGTATCGATGCGCTTTTTGTTCCATTTTCGTTTTTTGTTTCCCCCCCTCCCCCCCTAAACAAAAGCGTACATTACTTTCCGATTAACCGACGAGCTCGGTAACGTCAACCCTCCGTTGGAAAAAAAAAAAAAAAAAAAGGAAAAAAAAACCCGGCGACACACACGGTAACATCGCCGTGGCGGTGCGTTCCGAACATCGCGCTCACGCAGGTACGTTTACACACAACACCGTTGTTCGCAGCGACTATTGATTAGTAATAGCTTCCAGCAGCAACGGCAAAGCGGTTAATTCGTCCCCGGGGAGAGCTTTTTGCGCGCTCCCAGTGGAAAAACCAATCTTAGAGAAATCGATTTTACGCTTCCCGAAAGAATCGTTTAGCCGGCGGTTTTCGATTAAAGCGCGGCACACTTTCTGCGTGTCCGAGCTTCGCCGTGCGCTTCGCGGGTCCAAATTCCGCGGGCGATTTCTTACCGCCGCCGTTCTCGCATCTCGCAGGCCGCCCGCCGGGAAAGCGCGCAACCCCGGCGTGTTTATCCCTCCGGGTAACACCTCGCAAAATTGTTACGTTTCGCGCGGACGACGATGGTGAAATTTATTTTACACACCAAAGAGAGAGAAAGAGAGAGTGAGAGAGAGAGAGAATAGAACGGATGATGTGTAGATCCCTCTCTCTCCTTCCCAGCCGCGATTCTAGTTCCTAGGAACTCGGACGAGACGGCGGTATCGTTTATTGCGCGGAGGACCGCGGCGAAATGCCGAATGGAATGCTGACGCGATGCTTGCTAGCCACTTTTTCGAGGCTAGTGCATTTCGCTGTATTCCAGCCGGACGCTAACGATTTCCCGACAAAAACACCGGAGCAAGATACACCGGCGTCGCGACAAAACAATTTCTAATTTTCTTGACCGGTTAAAGCTGTTTGCCGTAACGAACGACGCAACGTACTGCGGCATTCTGTGTATTTTCACGTATTTTCGGAAAATACGATTAATTACGTCGCCGGGTGTTTCCTTTCCTCCTCTTACTTTTTGCGCGCGACGTGCGCGACGCGCAAAATGATTCGTTCCAATCTGAGGATCATTATGCGTACGAGGAAAACAACAACAACAAAGACGATAATAACGCGCCGGTTGAGTCCTCTGAATGATTGATTCTGGATATCTGAGTCCCGCACTTGGGTTTTATCAATTTGTGTTCTCAGTCACGTCACGTGAGATTAGCGGTACGCGATAGGGGCAGCGCGAATATTCCGTGATAATAAATATATGCGCGCCTCTCTCTCTCTCTCTCTCTCTTTCTCTCTCTCTCTCTCTCTCTCTCTCTTCCTCTCTTCCTCTCTTTGCCGCTCTGTCAAAATGAACAGTATTCGCGCGAGAACGCCATTCAATCCGCGCATTATTCGCCACCGGAGATCAATTCCACGGTGTGAAAACAAAATTATCGCGCGTTCAACTGCGAGGCATGATTAGCGGCCGTAATGAACGGTTGGGCTTAACACCGGTCGAGTTAACAAATTTACTATACAACGAGAAGCTGTCGCTTCAGTCCGATCAATGAGGCGGGCTATTAACGAGATTGCGCGTAGAATCGGACTCGTTACCTTTTTCTCCGGCGTTCGCTGGATCGGCACAATGTTCTTCGACGCGAGCAATCAGCGCGTGTCGTCTCGTGACGAATCAATTGTACGGCGAGTGACACGCACGGCGAGTCAACGCGAGAGCGACGACTTATAAAATTAACGCTCGAGACGCGATTTCGTCCTTCCTCGCGCGTCCTGTCAGCAGCGTCCTCGCGAGTCCTCGCGGAATCACCCTGACAATGAAAAGGGGGAGCCGGTATTCAGACGTTACTCGTAGTGTTACACATAATTTACCGTCATTACCGCGCCGGTCCGCAACGCTGTAAAATATGACCGCGAATTACCGCGGAGAATTAAGACGAGGGGAGAAAATTAAGGCGCCGCTCGCGGCCAACTGCTACTCTCGTTAATTGGTAAATACGTTAGCAGGAATATACGATACAGGTCTACATTACTTACGATCGTTGTGTTCGTTTTGCGGGAGCGAGCGAGAGAGAGAGAGAGAGCGAGAGAGAGAGAGAGAAAGAGAGGGAGCGAAAAGCGTCGTAGAAAAATTCATTGGAAAGAAGAGCAGCGGCCGACTAATGAAGTCGAATCGACGTCGAAGCGGCGAGACACGATCGCGCGACGGCGAATAAAGATCTCGACGCTGCTCGACGGCGATTAATTCCGACGTCGGCGTTACGTAACCGTGTGTAATCGATTCCCGCGACGTGTAAAAGCGCACAGTATCTTACAGCTATGCGAGTACTCACCGTGAAATCTTGTCCAGCCGCTCGCTTGCGCCGCGCCGAGCTGAAGTCTCTTCTCTTCGGCCCGGCGTTCCCGTGGATTAATTAATCACGTAATCAAGTATATATATATATATATATATATATATATTTACACACTGGATCCCCCTCCCCTTCCGGTTAATATTTTGTCGATTAATATCTATCCGGCACGATCCATTGTGCGCGTTTTTGATGATCCTGTGGCCCTCGCAAAATTATCCGCACCTTTCAATCGCGAATAGCGGCACGTTCCTCTCACTCAATCGCAGCCTCGCATAATTATATCGGGATTAACTGCGTCACGTGTGTCGTACGAGATATCGGTTTTATAATCCTCTCATTAGTTCCCGATGGGATTCTTCGGCCTTATTTGATATTAATTTCTCGCTAAGGCGTTTTACCTCGTGGAGTCAGTTTACACATCGCGTTTCGGATCATCGCGCGGAGATGCGATCTTCCCGACCCGGAGCGTGCTCTTTTAACGCGACCGTCGGAACGCGCTCTTAAATTACAGATCGTCGATTACATTTCTCCGCCCTTTTCATCTTCCGCACGTTGCCGCCGCTCCCCTCCCCCTACGTGATTAAGCACGCGATTCGCGACGCGAACGCGGATCGGTCCGCGAGCAGCGGCGAGCGGCGGACATATTTAATTGTCTCTCCTCGTTTGTTCGAACTGTAACTAAGATCGGAATGCTGATAGCGGGACGCGAACTGCCGGCAAACTTTCACGCACGCTAAGTTTCCGCGTTTATAATTGCCGTAAGAGCTTCCGATCGTTATTATCATCCCCGCGGAATCGAGTCCCGAATGCAATTTCGCCGTTAATTCCCCACCGAAACTTCAGCAGCGCGAAGTAACGCGACGCGGCGAGGAGAAAGTGCAGTCGGAGCCGACGAAACTTTGACGAGGTGCGTGGAAAGAGCGGCGGACGCGTTATTATACACAACGTGCATCCGCACGGTCGTTATTCGGCGCGATTATCAACCGACGATGGCAGAATTTCGGCCGAGGGCGTGCCCCGCGTTCACGCTCACTTTCGATTCATCGTGCCGCGCTGCGATGGTGATGGGGAGAAGGGAGAGTGCCTCTACCCCGGAAGAGGAACCGTGAGAATCGGGAGCGACGCGGAACACGCGGGACGAGGATCGCTCGGGTGAAAAAGTTCGGCAAGAGGAATCGCCGCGCGTCTCGCGTTTAATCGATAATTGCCGCCAAACTTTTCAATCATTATTATCGCACGTCGCAAATCGAGTTTCTAACGCAATTTAAGCGGGAACTTGCGAGGGAAGTTGCCGGACGGGAAACGAACGAGGCGAGCGAGCGAGCGAGCGAACGAACGAACGAACGAACGCACGAACGAACGAACGAGCGAAGAACGAGAGAGGTAGACGTGAGGTGCGAGACGAAGGGCCGGCGGGGGCAAAGGACAGGGACGCGCCTCGTATCTTAAATTTACTTCGAGCATCTCGCAGGGCTGTTTTCCCGATAATGGCGAGCGAACGCGCGAGAGAGCGGACGTCCTCCGGACGCCACGCCACGCCGCGCCGGCGGTCGTACGGCGCGACTCGCGAGACCAGGCACGGCGCCGGAAATTATGTTTGCATAATTTTCAATCTCGCGGTGGCAGCCCTCCGGCGTATCGATGAGAGGGACCCCGCCGCGGCTGTGTAGCACACCACGCTGTGGATCGCGTCAATCCGCACGATTATCGCGAATAATTGATTCAAGCCGCTTCGCACTCTTCGTGCGTCGTCGTCGAGCGACGAGCGCGACGAAAACGAAGACAAAGACGACGGCTGGCAACACGAGCGAGCGAGCGAGCGAGCGAGCGAGCGAGCGATCACGACGACAGTGACGACGACGACGACGACGACGACGACGACGGAGACAACGCGCGTGTTCAATCCTATCCACGATTGTCACTCACGTTCAACACTCGTCTCTTCGTGCGCGTGAACGACGACGTCGACGACGACGACCGATCACGACCGCTCCATTCGTATTGTGTGTGCCCCCCGTCGGGGCTCGATACGACAGCGGAGGCGGTTTTGATTCCCTCGCAACTTGTCGCGCACAGAGGGTAGTCAGAGTCGGCCTGTCGGCCCCGGCGACGTCACGACGAGACAAGTCGGGGCGAACGAGCAAGCGAGCGAGCGAGCGAGCGAGTTCGCAATCTCCTTCCTGTCTCTCTTTCCTTCTCTCTCTCTCTCTCTCTCTCTCTCTCTCTCTCACTCTCTCTCACTCTCTCTCTCTCTCTCTCTCTCTCTCTCTCTCTCTCGCCACTCGCACTCCGCGCCCTCGATCCACCCCTTAAGCACGGACCGGGGGAGCGAAGGGCATCGCGTCGCGAATTGCACTGACACTCGCAGATTCTCCGTTTCCCGCAGAAGCTTCCAACGCGACCCCTCTCCTCACCCACGCCAGCTCTCTTACCCTCTTCCAACCCCCGCGGGCGGCCGTGGCTTTTAGCGCAAGCGCTTGTGCTTTTCCGCGGGTTGCGTCCTATCCTAATTCACGTCGGTGTAAGTACGGTCCTGTCCGGCCCGCGGAACGTCGAAAATTTCTCTTTTCGTCGCGGCGTCTCGCGGCTACGATGAATTATGAGCGGCGGAAATTTATTTGCCTTCTCTTGCTTCCTTTTTCCCTTTTTCTTTCTTCTTTTTTCAGACGGAGTGGGGAGTACAGCGCTTTTCACGTCGACATTATTTCGTCAGTCTTTTCACGAGAATTTGAGTAGCTTAATCAAATTTGTGATTTTGAGATGAAGTCTCTCTCTCTCTCTCTCTCTATGATCACTGACACATATTCTTGTCGCACATGTCATGTAAAAAATAATTAATTTCTTATCGCAAAATATTTTTGAAATGATGATTTTCTATCAATATTTGTGTGAGTATGAAAGCTCTCTTTCCCTCTGTGTGTGTTTGTGTGTGTTTTGCGAAATTTGTGTTTCCGTAAGCGGATCGATGACGAGACACGTGACTGTATAATAATTTCCCCCGGAAAGGTCTTTTTTCCGCCTCGCCTGCAGAGACCAGAACATGCGCATATTTGCTTTGCGTCTCGCTTAATCTGGCGTTCAACGCGCACGCGCGCACGCGTGTATGTAAAACTTCAAAGATTCCAGTCAATATTTGGCGATTCGTGCGCAAGATACGCGATGACTGAATTATGTACATAATGATTGATCAAATCAGGGCCACACGCCGTAGTGTAATTGATAATATCGCCAAAGTAAATTAACGCGTTACGGCGCGTATGTTTATTCGACACAATTTCGCGTGCGAGCGAGAGCTCTATATACATATTGGCCGCTGAAATATTTACGAGAATTTACGGCTTACTAATATGCGATGAAAATAACGGGACAATGGATCCCCTCCTACAGTTTTTAATCCGCCGTCTAGTGCCGTGCGTTACACATTTTGTTTGCGCGGAATTATTTCGTTTTGTATCGGGGACACATATCTGACACATTACACGCGCCGCGCTGTTATAATCCGCATCCTATATTTACCCTTTGCCTTTGCCTCTCATGCGAATATTATTCATAAACAGCATTCGCGTGATATCGCGATTGTTTTAACGGAGATATTAACAGCGCGATGCGAAATGAATATTCCAAAGAATCAGCGCCCGACGCTTTCGCGCGACGGATAATCCAGGAAGAAGGACATCGCGTTTGCGTCGCTTACGACGTCTTTCAGATCTGTGTATCGGAAATATCGCGCCGGCCGATGGCGACGCACTGGTGAAAAGAAAAGCCCATCGATAATTGGCGACGTCAGAGGCGCAGCGGCTTCAGCAATCGGCTCGTTAAGGCGACGAATTGAGCGTAACTGCGGCTCCATGAACATGGAATCCTGGAAAACAGTCTCTCTCTCTCTCTCTCTCTCTCTCTCTCTCTTTCTCTATCTCTCTATCTATCTCTCTTTCTAATAAAGTGTTCTGCGAGTGTTTCGCCGATTGCGGTGCAGAATTCTTCATTCATTGCCGTCGGACGCTGATCAAAACTCGCGTAGCACTCGGCAGCAGCAGCAGCAGCAGCAGCAGCAGCAGCAGCATCATCGTCGTCGTCGTCGTCGGAAGCGCGGCAACGGTCTGAGAATCAAGATTACCCCGGAGAGAACGGCACGGACTCGTCATATCTCGACGAGGGTGGTTTAGTCGGCCGAGTGAGCGCTCGCGCACAACGCGAGAATCACCAGCACAGCTTCGCCCTCTCTCTCTCTCTTTTTCTCCCCCTCTCTCTCTCTCTCTCTCTCTCTCTCTCTGTACCTCTCATTAGCCTTGCCCCTCTGGCGGCTTTCTTTGCTGCCGTGCCGACGGTTAATAAAGCCACTGCGCGAACTGCAACCGGCGCGGCGTGCAGCTGAATTGGCCAAGTTTTAATTTCCTCGGGAACCGCGCCCGCGCACCCGGGCGATCGTTGAACTTATCGCGAGCGAACGTGTTGCGAGCGAGTTGTTGGGGCGCCGAAGGGGCGAATTGCCGGCCGCTCGTCCGGGCGATCGTCGAAGTGCTCAAAGCCACGAGCGAACGAGCGAGCGCGCGCGAGAGAGACTTGTGGACGCGTCCGCGTCGGAGGATCCCCGTAAATATGCGACGCGATACGCCGGCGAATTTCCGCGGGGATCCGCCAGTGCGCGCTTTAATTTTCCGGCTTGCCGGCTCGCCGTGTATCGGGATAATCGACAAACTTATCGCGGACGTATACGCGCGCCGTCACTTGTCGGCAGAAGCGCCAATTCCCCGGAGTTGTGCGCGATTGTCGCGACTGCTCCCGTGACGATCGCGCGGATACGCGGACGCGCGTGCGACGCCGGACTTTATAGAATAATATAATATGACACGCGCGCGCAACCACGCGAGGGGGGAAAGGGAGAGAGAGGGAGAGAGAGAGAGAGAGAGAGAGAGAGAGCAGTGTTATCAAACGACGAAATTGCTTTTAGCCGTGTTAACGCGAACGAGACGACTCGCATTTCAATCTGGACGCGTTGATAATTGAGACAAATAGCATTAATCACAAGTAATATTAAATTTATTATGCGATTATTATTATCATTATCGTTATTATTATTATTGTTATTA